ACATCCAAGCCCCCCCCCCCCCCTTAAAAAAACCAGCAACAAAAGCAACAAAAAAACAAACAAACAAAAACAAAACAAAACATGCAAACAAACAAACAAACAAACAAACAAACAAACAAACAAACAAGCAAAGTTTTCTTGACAAGCTCGGGTCAATAAAGCCCGCTTTACCCCTCCCCCCCCCCCAACCCTCTTTCTCAAAAGAGCGCTACGTAAGCCCAGTTGGTGTCACGAGGGGAGCGAACGGGCGGCCCTAGATTCTATTTCGAATCCCCAACAGGATGTTTGTGAACTCCGGTGGCGTTTGCAGTTTTCCAATCTCTGAATCCCATTGGGCCGGTCTTATCAGAGCTGGACACTTATTTCGGAGGACCCGCCTCTTTTGTTGTTTTGTTTTTGTAAAGTGTTTTACGGCGCTCGCAACTGCATAGGTCATATGAGCGCGAGGACCCGCCTCTTTTGTTGTTTTGTTTTTGTAAAGTGTTTTACGGCGCTCGCAACTGCATAGGTCATATGAGCGCGAGGACCCGCCTCTTTTGTTGTTTTGTTTTTGTAAAGTGTTTTACGGCGCTCGCAACTGCATAGGTCATATGAGCGCGAGGACCCGCCTCTTTTGTTGTTTTGTTTTTGTAAAGTGTTTTACGGCGCTCGCAACTGCATAGGTCATATGAGCGCGAGGACCCGCCTCTTTTGTTGTTTTGTTTTTGTAAAGTGTTTTACGGCGCTCGCAACTGCATAGGTCATATGAGCGCGCGGGACACACCTAATATTTTCAGTTGGTAGGAAACTTTCAAATTTTGCCCGGGTGGCGGCCGAAGCCTACTCTTATCGATTTTAGACCACCAAGGGATCCCCGCCTCTTTGTTAACCTACCTTGAAGGGGGTTATAAACTCTATACCTTTTTCCCTCTCTCACAAGGCCCATGTGGGTGGTTGGCGGGTGCTGTGGTGTAGTTTACTCCTTCTCTTCTGTCAAACATTTCATTGTCCTTATCTTTCCTCCTTTTTTTCTTTCTATGATATTACACCCTAGAAAAACGAATCTTCGGCGCGTGTGACCTATTTGTGCTGAAAGTACAGCCCCAAATGCACATTGTGTGTTTTGATATTGTGTCTAAGTACAATAAACTGTTCCGTGGCGAGCACTATACACTATTACTAAAGATAAAAATACCAGGTCCGTTAGACTGTGATATTGTCAAAATACAACATAAAATAGCAAAGTGACTGCACATGCAATTACAGGGGGGGGGGGGGGGGTTGGGTTGGCTAAATCGGAACTGTTTTAAAAGTCTAATTTTACTAACACAATAGCGTTGTTGTTTTTGTTTTCACCATTTGCACATACTCCAGCTTTAAATTTACATTATTCGTGTTTGAAGACATAGTCGAAGCAATCACTCCACTTACTCAGTCCAATTGGAAAATAAAAGGCTTCACTCCTGGGCTGGTCGTGTTTAAATGAAATACACCACTACATAATATTTTTTTTACACACAATATACTAAATCCACATGGAGAATAGCCTCAGTGACAACAATTAGGGCAGAATTTAATGTGGTCGACAGCTGTTCCGTTCGCTTCATGAGCAGAGAGAATGTAAAACAATGCATGTGGCAAGACTATTTGAATCTATTTGAATTAACAATATAAAAACGTTTCCTTGATTGGAATTTTTAGTTGAGGGTAACCCTCAAAATGAAATATTACGTGTTCTCACGAGTAAAAACAGATCAATATATCAAAATAAAGTACATTCATCCCTCTCCACTCCCGGGATTTGTGTTAAACACGAGGGGCAAACGCAAGTACATCAATGGTACATGCTATGTGAGTTTAGGCCTATCCCTTTGTATTAAACAATTAATTAAATGGATGCCCGTCAAGAACAAGGTTTAAAACGAAGAAAAAGCAATATTGCGAACCTGAAAAAAAGCAGTAAAGGGGAGCTAAGAATGGCGTGCATTTCGATGTGTGTGTGTGTGTGTGTGTGTGTGTGTGTGTGTGTGTGTGTGTGTGTGTGTGTGTGTGTGTGTGTACGTGTATATAACAATAATAACGATAATGATAATAGTAATAATAATATAATAACAATTTTGCATAATAATTAATGGCCTTACCCATAATCATAAGCGCCACAAACAGTGAGCCAGCAAAAGACGCCACGAAGGCAGACGACTCGTACTTCTCCACGATATACGGGAACAGCAGGCCGAAGCAACTCCCGGTACCGTCGATGATAAAGGCGTTGAAGAAACTGGCGATAACGATGACCCAGCCGTAGCCTCCTTCCTGCTGGTTTCGGGTGTTTGCGCCATCGGAGTAGCCGTTGCTGCTGTTGCTGCTGTTGCTGCTGTTGCGGTCGTTCCTTTTTGGGATTTTCTTGGCGTCGGCGGACACCGTTGTTGAGTCGTAGCCGTCGTCGTCGTCGTTTTTGTCGTTGTCGTCGTTCGCTTTTGATACTGGGTCGTTATTTTTGTTGTCGTTGTTATTGCAAGACTGTTGAGCACTCTGCGGCGGTCGTCGCTTATCCATTTTGACAGAAATTTCAGCTACAATGTTATTAGTACTATGTTAAAAAATTATATCCGTCTCAGTATAAACACCTTCGTTGCTTATTATTATAGCGTTTAGGAATGGAAAAACTGACTCTCTCTCTCTCACACATCCTTCGTTGTGACGATCACGCAGTTATAATGACAAACGATTCTCACAGAAACTCCTTACATTTTCAGCAAAAGTGTTATTGTCTGATAACGAGCAATGAAAAAGTGGCCTACTGAACTACTTGTTCAACTTTTCCAGATGCAAGCATGCAGCATTAATGATGATCGGTTCTCGCCTCACGTACTCGCTTAGCGGGAATGTTTTGGCGGCGGCGTTAAGGCAAATCGATACTTCATTCTTCGATTGAAAGACCATTGATCAAAGGAGGTGACTGACTAGTGAAAAAGGTACGTGCGTTTGTTGTGTTTAGTGTGTGTGTGTGTGTGTGCATGTGTGTGTGAATGTGTATGTGTATGTGTGTGTGTGTGTGTGTGTGAGTGAGTGTTTATAAGCGTGTGTGTGTGAGTGAGTGTTTATAAGCGTGTGTTTATGTGCGTGTGTGGGTGTTTGTGCTTTTATGTGTGTGAAAATAGGGGAGACGGGTACACTGGGAGGC